CAGCTCTTCTGGGGAGGGAGACGACACACTGAAACATGAGCAGCTAGCTTCAGTGCTGCCTGAGCACTGGTGCATGGCTCCTGAAAGAGTTCTTGAAATGGGGGGAGTGGGTTTAGGGTTGAGTATGAGCAAAAAGAGTCTTCAGGCCAAGAATAAGAAAAGTCTCTGGTTATTTGATTCCTCCGTGTCTGAGAAAGTGGGACTTTGCCCATTTTTAAAAATAAACAAACAGAGCTGTCAGTTTCTCACCTATTTCTCCTCCTAACTGGAGTAACCTACAAGGTGCTGCAATTTGGTGAGCTGGCCACTGGGCCAGATTTAGCAGCCATAAAAACCTACAAAACTATGAGGGAAGTTGCTCTGTCCAACCACCGTTTAGAAAGTGGTTCATGACAACACGTTCCACCCTCAATGCCTAAGAATAGCAGGGAAGATCTAAGGTGGAATCTTCAAAAGCACCCAAAGCATTAGGCTTACAAATTCCACAGAAAGTCAATTGGATCCCTGTTTAGATACCCAATTTACCATTAAAATCAATGGCGAATTAAGTGCCTAAACAGCAGCAAGACCCCACTGTGCAAGCAGAACAAAAAGCCAGGCTGTGCCCCAGAGAGCTGGCAGTCTAAGACAAGCAGACTGGGGAGTACAAGGAACAAATGACATATTCTTGGTCAGCACGATGGGCAGTGATCTCAGCAGAACAGTAGTCCAACCATTGTCAGTAGCCCAGCAAAAGCACATTTTTCAGAGGGTTTGGAGGGAGAACAACAAACTTATTGTAGATGTTGACAGGTTGTTTGCAGTGATAGCAGAGAGGGTAGCCTCTCTGGCCAGTGATTCTCAACCAGGGTTCTGAGACATTGGGGTGCCTTGAGATCCTTTCAGGGGTACCACGGTATGCCATACAATGTTAGCACTGTGAGGTGTGCAAACATGATTCACAAATAAACCCAGAGGTTTCAAATAGGAATCTAGTGTTAAAAACATTCTGACATGTTGTGTGGTCTTTCTGAATTCTTTGCAACAGAATTGCTCTAGTATTTTTGTAAAGAGTAAAAAGTAAGAACTGACATGTTTTAAGGAGCGCCTTGAATCTATTGAGGGGTGCCTCAAGTCTAAAAAGGTTAAGAACCACTGCTCTGGGTGCTGGGCTGGAATGGCTGGGGTAGAGTTAAGTCTTACTGCAGCTGTGACTTTAGAATGCTGCTAGAAACTGAAGAAAATATTTTCCTGCAACACTGATTCTCTGAAAGGATGGTGCTATTCATGCAGCTGCAGAACACACAGTTTCTCCCTTTGGTTATAGTAAAGTCCAGAGTTTGAATTACACTGACTCAGGGGGGTCTGCAAAAAAAATTGGGCTGCCCCATCATGATGCCCTAATAAAATTGAAGACCCCCTCCCCCAGGTTATGACCTGGGGGGTTATGACCCCCCCCCAGGTTAATTTTTTTCAAATTTTACCTGGGGGGCAGGGGCTCATTTGTGATGGGGGGGGGCCGCCCCCCCCCCCCCCCCCCCCCCGGGCTCCCCCATAATTCAAACCCTGATAAAGCTGGATTACCCCTGACACCAGATGTCTTTGGATAATCAGTAATCAGGAGTCAATAGGCAGGAAGCATTCTTAAATCCTACTCATGTGTTGCCCTGCAAGGGAGTACTTTTAGCACACGCTGGCATATGGTTACATAAGTGACCTTTGGGCAGGTACCTGCAGTCCTTAATGAACCACTCCCAGGCACAACTCATAGCTTCAACAAGAGCAGTTTCACTTAGGTGTCATATCACAAACGTTAAGATACAGACCTTTGTTTACTAAGAGACACTTCATCTTGGTGATAAATCTCTGATACAGGGACTTTTGCACTCTTGGCACAAAATAATACCACCCTGCTCCAAGGGACCTTCTGCAAAGAATGACGAGTATTGTTCACTGTCAATAACACTCTAGTGTACTAGAGGCTGTGCAAATGCAAAAGAGCTGGCCTCTGCTCTAACAAGCTTATGCTTGGAGGGAAACAAAGCATGTAGAGACAGTGCATTGAGTAAGGAAGCAGCTAGGAGCCTGATAGCTGACTGCCTTTTCACAATGTAGAAGTAGTAAGGTGCTTTTGGGTTCAGCTAATACAGAGATGGAACAACTCCCACACATTACCCAATGGCCTGGCTGTTAGGAGCTGGTCAATTCTTTCAGGCATCCCAGAACTGGGGACTAATTACAATCTTTGAGAATGCTACGGCATTGAAACCATATTTGCCAAATAAGCAGTTAGTGCGACAGTGCTGTAAACTGGAACATGCTCTCTGGATCCTGCTGGCTACTATTGATTGCAATTCATGGAAAACCCCAGGTCAGACTGGCATAAAGCAGAAGCAATCATCCATACACCAAAGTGGTTATGCTGCACTCACCCTCAGAGTCTCTGAGCCTGAGCACTATCACAAAGGGATATCTCTGGATTTCATTCAACGCTGATGTATTAGTATAAAAGACTGAGGACACAGTGGTGTGACAGCACAAGCATAATGGCACACTAGTGTGAGAGCACAAGCCCAATGGCAATGACAGTAGATTCTCAGATTCTCACTACATACAATCCTGGTTTGTACTGAATTATGCTAGACTACATGAGACGCCTTGCTTTGGTGAATGTGCCTCTTGCATAGAAGAGTTCTCAAACTCTTTAGGTCACTGTTCCACTGCAGAATTTTTTTCTTTTTTAATGAGAACATTCACTCCATTAACAATTAGGTTAACAGCCCCACCAATGTTGCAACATGAAGCACTGTAAAATCAAGAATAACCAAAAGTTATTCTTCCCCTGCACAATCTTAGTTCTGCCCTTTCTATGCATGCTTTCAAGAAAATCTTTTAAGTTCTGCTTTCCTGAAGGAACCCTAAGTATATCTGCTATACAGTACTCAGTAAGAGACAAGGGTCCTGCAGAGCCCTGTGTCACAGCCCTGCCTCCCTCCCTTGTGGACAGTCACCAGAGCTCTGGTATTTAACCCAATCCCTGGATCTCACTTCCCTTGAAGTGTACCAAGTCTGAGCAGTATCCAGATGATGTCATTAAATCTGACCTCCTGGGCAGACGCCTCTAAGGTATGCTGTTGTTCTCAAGCTAGTACCTCTTTCTGGGAGGTGAGGTCATTTAGCCTAAGATCAGGGCTGACCCAGCAAGTCTCCTCAATACCAAGGCATGCTCTCTCCTGACCTTCATTCCTGTGGGCATTTTGATTTTCAGTTTAACACATTGAGGACCATGAGACAGTTAAAGCAAAACCAAGATCTAAATAACAGACTATAGTAACCAGCAGTAGCTTAAAAATGGGTGGGCAAGCAGGGCATTTGGCAGTGCCTAAAGGGGAAAGGTGCAGGGGGAGGGAACACTAGAGTGGAGTGGGAAGGGCTTCACTCTCCCATCCTCCCTTCCTCATAGCTCCTTCAGCGGGAAGGCACAGCAGTGGCAGCAACACAGGCCCCTGTGTCAGTGAAGGGCATTCTGGGAAATGCAGTTTCTGCTGTTGGGGGGATATATTAACCTCTTATTTTTACTGCTGAAAACTGTTGGGTTTTTTTGGTTGCTGGACATACGTGTCTTCAGCAAAAAAAAAAAATTAAGTAGACATCTTACTAAGCCAATTTAAGTCCATTATTTCATGTCATTTGAGAGACACCATAACAGCTTAGTACACGGATGGCTAACCTGTGGCACAAGCAGCCTCTGTGCAGCATGCAACAGATCAGAGAGGGGATAGGCATTACAGTAGTAGGTAAGGCAGGAAGCAGAAGGCACAGGACAGGAAGCAGAAAGCAGAGCAGGAGATTGGGCAGGGAGCACCAAGTAGGAAGCAAAAAGAAGAACGGAAGATTGGGCAGAAGACTGGAGTGGCACTCGGAGTGCAGGACTAATTTGTAGTATGCTTGCCAATACGGCTGGCTTCCACTGGCTTACTAGAACATGACTAAATCCACTACCCCACCTTCCAAATAGAAACAAGTACTATAATTATAACAATAGCAACAACAAGATTTATGAGAAAAGGATGAAAGAGCTAGTTATCTAGTCTGGAGAAGACCAAGGAGAATTTGACAACAGTCTTCAAATAACTGAAAAGTGATAATAAAAAGGATGGAGATGGGTTTTTCTCTGTGATTATACGGACTAGGAGCAATAGCCTCAAACTGCAGCAGAGGAAATTAATCTTGGAAACTAGGAAGAACTTGCTCACTATAAGGGTGGTCAAGCATTGGAACAGGCTTCCTAGAGAAGTTGTGGAATCTCCATCCGTGGAAGTTCGGAGAGCAGATCGGACAGACACTTGGCTGGATGGTTTAGCCAGGGATGATTTTGCCAAGCAGGAGGCTGGACTAGATGACCTCATGTTCCCTTCCCAGCCATACTTTCCTAGGATCCTAACAATAAATAACAACATTTAAAATGCCAAAGAGGGACTGTCTAAAATTGACAGCGAAAGGCAAACAGCCCATTGAGCCTGGTCCTGAAGTAGGTATAAGTTAGGGGAATCAGACTGCTGCTGTCTTCAGTCGTTTCAACAAATCTGTAGTTCAGCTACCCAGGCTCACTGACAATTCGCACTGCATTGTAACTGGGAGCCTTTGCCTGACCTGCACTGAACATACTGTTCTTTCTACATAGAATACATTCTTGTCCTGCTGCTTTGAAGCTTGTTCTGGACGGATCAGACAAGCCCCACTTGAGGCCACGACTGGAGCTTACATCACGAGCTCTGCATCCTCAGCGTACGTAGGGCAGATAAGTCAGCAGCTGCCTTCATGAAGGCAGCATCCTCCCAACCCGGGGCACAGAAGTCCAAGGCAGGCTTCCCTCGCCCTGGATTCACCCACCTTACCCAGGCAACAGCAGCACATAGCAACATCCTCAGACAAAGCTTCACAAATGAGCCCACCCGTTGGTGATGCGGCGCATGCGCATTTTTATTACAAAACACCCAATTCAAGCTACCAGCATCAGCCCTTCCTGACATTCATACGCTGCCCCCAAAATTCAGGACACGCTGTGGGGCTGCCATGAGACCCCCTGGGGGCATGGTGCCGATGGGCAACCACTTGAGGCAACTGAAAGTTTCTCAGCCTGGAGCTATGATGCCAACGCATGGTGACTGGAGGGAACACAAAGTGTCTCAGCCCAGAGCCATGACGCTGATGGGCGGCAACTGGATGGAACCCAAAATGTCTTGGCCCGGAGCCACGAGGCCGCTGGGTGGCGACCGGAGGGAACCCGAAACGTCTCGGCTCAGAGCAGCAGGTCGGGGCCTGGTCCAGTGAGCGGGGCAGTGGCGTCAGCCCCGGCCAGCGGGGTCAGTTGACGCGGCAGGCGCGGATCATGAGCAGCTGCAGCAGGATGAAGACAGGTGACATGATGAGGCCGTACCAGAGCTCGCGCGTCTGCTCCGCCAGCTTCTGGCACAGCAGCATCTCGAAGACGAACTTGAGGCTGAGCAGGGTGAGGATCCAGAAGAGGCGCAGCACGGCCAGGCGCTTCTCGCCGTCCTGGAACAGGCGCACCGACACGATGGCCGAAAAGTAGGTGCTCAGCCCGTCGGCCGCAAAGAAGGGCACGAAGACCGCCCACCACGACAGCACCGCGCCCGCGCCGTCCACCTTCAGCACGAGCAGCACGGAGGCGGCCAGGAGCGCCAGCCCGTGCAGCAGCAGCTCGAAGGGCGCGAAGCCGAGCCATTGCACCAGCTCCCGCAGCGAGAACAGCATAGCCGCGGCCCGCGGCGCGCTGCGGCGCCGCCCCCCGAGCACTTCCGGCGCGCGCCGGTATCCTCACCGGAAGCGGAAGTAGCGCGATGTTGGGTTGTGCAGGGAAGTCGGACGTTTTCTCCGGGCCGCCGACAGCCACACTTCCGGCGCACGGTGTTGTCGTCACAGGAAGCGGAAGCAGCTCGATGCTGGTAGTACAGGTGTGTTCGGCGTTCTTGGCGGTCGGGGTGGGGCTATTAGTCCCGGTCCCGAGCGAGCGGAGCGGTGCTTTCTATCGCTTGTATCTCTTTGAGGAAGCGTCTATTCTTGCCTCTTAACGTGCCAGATACAGTTATACCAGCTCCAGTGAGTCCTACCGCGGTAATGGCAACCAGATAGAAAGGGAGGTTAAAGGATCCCACCCTCATGATATCGCCTCTTTCAAGGTCAGGGAGAAAGGTCTGAAATGTAGAGCCCCTCGTTTCAAGTGCCCTGTCAGCCTCTCCCTCCTATTTACATAGAGGCTGTAATTTGGGCACCGTGCTGCCTACGGCTGCAGGAGATTATTGCAGGGAGGGAGGAGTGTTTCTCAAAGGCAGATCACGTGGTAAGATTACTTCAGGAGCAGGCGCCCAGGTTCTGTGCTAGGTCTTGTTTCCAAAAGGCCTTCGCTTGAGAGCATGTTGCAGAAATCTGGTTTTGCGAGCAGACTCAGCCATAGCAAGAGTCTCAACCAAATGAATGAGCACAATCTCCTAGCCACGCAAGCGGGCGGTGGGGGGGGAGCTGTCTGTCTGTCATTGCTGCTCTTTCAGATGACCAGAAACCCAAGTTACAGAAAGCAGGCACCCACCTTTAGTAAAAAAGACAAGTATTATCCTTGCCACATCTTCATCTACTTGCTTTCCAAACAGCATCAATTTCCAAGGATGTAAAATGTTAAGTGCCAATATTAACAGTGTTGGAACCAGAAGGTACACAGAAAAGTTACACTTGCCTGTTAGAGCTTTTTTTTCTGTCTGAAATGTCTTCAGTTTTGGGGGGGGTTTAATCAAAATTTATATCAAAGTTCTGTTCAAGGAGGTAGCAGTGAAAAATGATTGACACAGGTCTAGGTTGCCTTAGCACTTGACTTCTAATGGAACACAGGCTGTAGCCTTTCCTTCTCAAACGTCTCAAAATTTTGTGTGCAAAGCTAGTGACACCCAAGGCTTGGGCATGTTTAGTTAATGCTGCACCACGTGCCTCTGGGACAGGCTTTTCCATGAGTGATTGTTCAGTTTCCCCAATCTCTGTTGCCAGTGCCTTTTAAGGCTCCCTGCAGAAGATGCACCAAAAATTGGTACAAGCGATTTTGCCCCTTCCCTGAGAAACGGCTCCCCCCTGACTGTTTGATGTATTACGGGAGGAAGCCAAGTAGCACTGGTTGCTCCATTGCTTGCCTTTCTGTTGGGCTATGGGAACCCCAGGGGGAGCAAGATAGGGCTTGAGTAGCTCTGCCTGAGGCTAGGGCAGCCTTAGCGCTGAGTGCCTTCCCATCCCTTAACAACCCCTTGTAGGCAGGGGCTGAGAGGTGAGCAGCCAGTAGGGATTGCTCCTGGGTCTCTGCCCTTTGCATGGGGCCTGCTGCAACTTGCACTAGCTGCTTGCAGTACCCTATAGACAGTCCTTCCCTTATGGATGGTTAGAGCGCCATGCACACCAGCCACTTCCCCTTTCCACTTTGTACTTCACGTATCAAGTTGCCAACCATGGCTGAGGCTACGGGGGCAGTGGGGTAGGAACTAAACATACTGCCTGTGTGCCTGCTGGGTACTGCCCTCCACTTTTTCCAGGATAGTTCCTAGCAGGGTCTGGTGGGAGAAAGTTATGTTTCTGCTCTATTTGTTGGCTGAGCAGCATGTACCCAAAAGACTTTCCCAAAGTTCTGGTTGGGTCCATTTGAATTTTGGAATAACCCTTATGGTTCTGGGGCTGAAAGGAACCACACTGATATCAGGCAGGGATATTATGTGCCAGTGGGCACCTTTTTAAGAATCCCAGGACTGCTCTCATGGGAGCCATCAGGCCTCTTACTTTCCCCATGGCTGGAATTAGTGGTGAGTCATACCTTCTCATTGAGACACCAGTGATTTACAGCTCTCCCTTGGGTCTGGGTTGGATTTGCCATGGGCTTTTGTCACTGGGAGTGTCCAGGACTCCTGCAACTAAAAAGGATCGGAGAGGAAAATAACCCAGTTGTACAACATTCTTGCTGTTTCTCCAGGTAGTTATTCACCCCTGCTGGTTACGTGACTCCTTCACTCAGCTACAGGAGTGATAAGGAAAATGGAACTGTAAATTTGCAAACATAGGCAAAAAATTTTGGGCCAATGCCTACTTCTAACACATTTCTAAAATTAGCCAGTGTTTGAGTCAGCATTATCCCCTCACTTTGGAATACACCAGAGACGCACAGCTCTTTACAAATGTAAATTATATCTCAAAATTTGTCCCTTCAACCTGTGTGGTTGGAACTGATGCCACCCCTATTTTACAGACGGGGAAATTGAGGTACAGGGGTGAGACTAGACAACAAATCAGCCAGAGTTGGAAATCCAGGAGCCCTGATTTCTAGTGTCTCATTTAACCATGTTGCCTTTCTGTATCTTTACATATCCTTTATGTTAAAGCATTCTGCATTCCTCCTTCAAAATACATAGGAACCAAGTCCTGCTAGTGCTTTTTTTGAGTCATAGCTTGACTTTGAGCAAGGATTCACCTTGGCTCGCATTTTGCCTTGTTGTCGTGTAATTCTTTGGCTGGTTTTGTCTCCTCCAGATGTCGGAACGGAAACTCCTCATTCTCTTTGGTAGCCAGACAGGGACAGCTCAAGATGCAGCTGAGAGAATCAGCAGAGAAGCCAAGCGGCGCCACTTCTGCTGTAGGGTGGAAGCCCTGGACAATTACAGTGTGGTGAGTTTTGGGGTGTGGGGGGGCAATGAATACTGATGCAGAGAAACATTTGTACAGCTTCTGTGTAGGTCATCCTGAACTGAATTTCTCTCAGGGCATTTTGGACAGCATCTGTCACTTTGACCTCTGCTTTGATAAGTCCTGGTTCTCATGCTGTCCCTAGAGTCATCTTGCAGGCCTGCATGCTTAACACTGCTGTAAGAGAGAGCAAGTGCAGGAGATCAATCAGAGATCAATATGATCTTATCCAGGTCAACTTACATTGATCTGACTAATCTGATTACTTAGAACTGGTTTCTATAAGATAAGGAGGATGAGCTTGTTCTGCAAAAGTTGGTGGGTGTCCTGAGTCAGAATTCTAATATTATAAAAGCCTTAATCTGTCTGTCTATAGGTCTGTAACGCTTTATTCGCATTCTGATTGGCTGAGGCCGGCACAGATGGCCTCGCCCCCCCTGCCCTGCTCCCTGTACATGGCAATGATGGGGGCGAGGCCACCAGAGCTGGCTTGCGCCCCCCCCATTGCTCCTTGGAGGTGCAAGCACTGGCGACGCAGGGGGGAGCGGGGTCAGGATGCTGCAGGGGGTGAGAGTGGCACTGGCCTCAGCCCACCCCTCCCCCCTTCCGTCGTTGCCACCTGCAGGGCCAACACATCAGCGGTAGGGGGAGGAGCAGGCCTGATGGGGGAGGGGGCGGGGGGAGAGGAGGAGTGAGTGTGCTGTGGGGGGAATGGAGTAAGAGCCTTAGTGTGCTCGTTTCTTTGCCTGTACCTAGTTCCCCTCCCTCCCTTTCATTTAGGACAGGCCTCTGGCATAGCTGGTTTCTGAGCTCTGGTGCCATGTGCAAGTGTGGGGCTTGCCATTGCATACCTATGGCTCGTTGCAGTGCTAACTGTGGTGTGTAATGGTAGCATATTCACAGTGCTGTGGCTTCATCTGGCTGGTGATGCATCTGGCATGGTAATGCATGGTGGGGTGTTCAGGGCTATGGTGAGGCGCGGACAGCAGCCTGTACTGTGGTGGGTTGGGCTGCAGCTGTACATGGGATGCTGTGTCCTGTGGTCACAGCTTGCTAACCCTACATCTGTGTTTCCATGTTTGTTTTTGCATGTAGGCAAACCTCATCACTGAGACATTGGTGGTATTTGTGTGTGCAACGACAGGCCAAGGGGACCCGCCTGACAACATGATGGTAGGCTATGCAACTGTCTATACCATTTTTGGTTGTGAACATGGCTTTCACTCTTGAATTTGCCTCCTCAAGCTCCTCCCCATGTATTTTTGAGACAGGTGAAAGGGAGCGACATTAATATTCTGTGAACAATGGCTGTGGAGGGGTCATTTCATTTAGGACAGACCTTTGGTGACCCTGTGTGACCTCATGCCATTCTTATGGGACATTAGGCACCAAGGCCTTGCCAAGAGCTCTCTAAAGATGCGTCCACACATGCAGGCACGTGCACTTGCAGCAGCTCAAATAGAAGCGGCTCAAATTTGAGCAAGGGCTTTTTGCCTCATTGGGGCAAATTGTGCCACTTGGGGCAAAATAACCCTGCCTGGCTTCTTCTGAATCTGCAGCCACGGGGAGCTAGAGGTTGGGGCCAGCACCTGTGCTGGCCTTTGCACCATAAAAACCTGCCCTGTGCTGGCCCCAGTAGAATAAAAAGCTGCCCTGGTTCAGGGCTACTCACTTTCAGGAGCTTCTGGGACCTGGCCAGTTGGTACCTGGTGACACTACCCCTTGTGTCAGCTGGACTGCTGAAGCAGCCCTGAGAGTTCCCTGCACCCTTTACCCACTGCAGCAGTCTGGCAGTGGGGGCTGCTGCCTGGCTGTGACCTGTGACAGCATGTGGCCCCAAGACTGCACACCTGTCAGACCTGGATGGGGACTGCATAGCCATTAGAGGCATCTATAGCCATGAGGTGCATCGGCCCCTCGGGTCCAGCTGCCAGTGGACTGTGGCAACACAGTTGGCCTTTGTGCAGCACTACTGCCATGTGTGTCACCCCCAGCCATCTGGGCAGCTATCACCCAGAAGATGTTCTCAATGTGCTGGCCTGTTCTGACCTGTCAAAGCATGTCTTCCTGGCCCCAAGTGGCCAGGAGGTCAGCCACCTCTAGCAGGGTCCTGGGTGCC